CCTTTGCATTGATAACCTAATCATAGGTAAGATCCATAGGTGCATTTATTGTCAGCTACCTTTTTCTTTTTATATATTTCACCTTAATTAGAATAGATCAATTTCATTGTGTGTGAAAATAAAACCATAAATTTAAAAAATATATAAGATATCTGTGATCTTTTATTTTTTTGTTTATTATTAGTATTAAACTAAATCCAAGGTTTAGACACAAGGTTTATCACAACATTACAATGGATCCAAGATCCAATAGTGTAATAATTGTAATAATAGTTCTTTACATATCTACCCTCAAGTTTATAAAGAACCTATTGGTCATTACAAATTTTAACGTTGCATATGCGCCTCTTGAAATATTAAAAACCTTCATTTGCATCTCTCTCATGAACATCTATCCTAAAATTTACAAGTTAATAACTTTTAGCTATGGTTAACAATAGCTATTTGAAGTTGAACTTTTACGTATATAAAAATACCAAATACCTAAAATATCCCTCAAATTATGCTCGTCTTAATCTATTTTCACAATATGCTAAAATTGTAGAGAGTTTGAAATATCAAATATAAAGGTGTAAATGCAAATTCATTGGTTCGTGGGGATTATATGTATATATATATATATATATATATATATATATTCAAATTTTAAGGGATAAAAAATAAAATTGTTGATTTAATAGTTTATATATATGTATTATTGTATAGAGAAAAGGATAAAAATTAGTGGGATGAAGGTTCACGGACATGCGCAACCCCCGGGTGTGGCAGGGGTGGTGGATTTACCGCGGTGACTCGGCTTCACTTCAACACCGCCCCCCTTCTCTTCCGCTCCGCCTTAAAAGGCCGCGGAAGAGAGGGAGAGAGGCAGAGGGAGAGAGGGAAGGCTTTAAGGATATCTCTCTCTCTCTCTCTCTGCCTCACGCCTTTGTCGCCGTGATCCTCCTCTTCCGCGGCAGTATATAGCGGCGGGATCTGGTGCTCCCCTGCCTCCGTCGCTCCGATCGTGAGGGGAACTCACCGGTCGTGTTAACGAAGCTACATCTGGCGACTCGGACGCGATCTCGAGCTGCCCGGTCGGATCCCTTCATTTCGAGATGGTATGGTGAATCGCCGATTTCTGTTCCTTTTTTTGAGAGGGCGGGTTTTAGATTTCTCTTTGGTTTGGATGGGTTGCGTCGCGGTTTCGCTTCATAATCGTCTCTTTCTTCCGTGTTTGTGGGACTTGGCTTGGTGTGGTGTTATTCCTTAGTTTTTGAGACAGTTTTGTTGGAATTATGGGGTCGGATTGCGCTGTAAACGTCAGGATTGCGAAAAGTTTCGAACATTGGCTTGCTAATTTCTCGCATCATCTGCTCTCTTCTTTAATTTCGGGTCGCAAGTGCATTTTTGCCTCTCATTATAGAAGAGAAAAAGGTATTCCTCGTTTGTTTTTCATGTTTCGACTGGTTTAATTTTTTCTGTAGCACAAATCTAAATCCGCAAAAGATTGTTGTTCCAAATGCTTGATTCGAACTGAAAAAAATTGCCGGATTTAGTCGGCAAAAATATATTTTGTCTTTTAAGTTTGGATGAGTAAGAAGTTTGAATATAAAGAATTCCTTCCCGGCTTTTCTTGCAGAAGCTTATGCGAAAGGTTTTGTTACATTTGGTTGCAGGTTAACATTTTTTTGTGAAAAGATTTTTACCCTATCTCCTTCCAAACAAAGATGACAAGTGTCCTGAATTTTATTGCAAGCTGCAATCTTGCGATGGTTCTGATACGTATGCTTTTTACCTCGTGATTCGACTAAGGGGATTTATAAGTAAATGATTCTGTGAAAATCTTCGTTTTAGATATTTGTTCTATCATGCCTATTTTAGTTGGTATCAGAGCTGTGCACTCGCATTTGTTTGGTATCAGAGGCTCAGAGCAGGATGCCTCGGATGTCTACGATAATTGGCCATCTTGCAATATTAATTTCATCAGATCAAGCTACTATGAAAACCATTTATCCGATCTGGAGATCGTTCATCAATTGGATGTGCAACAAAAGTGATTAATCATTCATGACTTTGAGGTTGATCGTAGTTTGGCTAGATTTCAAAGTTAAGGCTCCAAATGTATCTTTTATATTTAAATATTTTTTGACAGATTTTTAGGTATTTTTTAAAGAAGAATTTCTTGATGACATTTTAGTTTATTCTTTTTTTAGTAGTTTAGATACGTAACTTTTTTTTTAGTTATCTTAGGTCTCAAGTAAAGTACATTTTAAACAATGGTTCAATCATGAGTCTTGTAACATGAAATGTTGATTTTTCCACTACTTAAAATAGAGTTTTTTAAGGTTGTGTGGCTTTGGTTATTCCTCTTTTCCATCTTTACTGTCTCATTTACTTCTAGCCTTGGCCTTTTATACCAAAGTCTTTTAATCCCTTGTCATTTACTCTCTCTATCGCTTGTCTTTGTCCATTTACTCAAAAGATTCATCCAGCTTCTAAGCTCTATCTTCTACCGTGGTCTTCAATCTCCTTCATCCCCTTCACTTAATTGTAATTGGTATCACAGTCGTGCATCATGTCGTTCACGTTATGTGAATTCTTTTGTCAAATGGAGGGTTTCCAAGTAAGATGTACCTAGGAAAACACTTTTTTTTCTTTTTCACATTGAGAAGAACATATACTCCATTGATGATAGACTCTGAAAATTTCTTTGAAAGTAACATTGGTCGCTGGATCCCTATCATTTTGCTTAATTTATTTATCCTTTGCAGCATATTGTAATGGTTCCGCTAACAGAAGAAGCTTTTTTTTCTTTTTCTTTTGATAATCCAGGAGCCTGCCAAAACGGAGAACTTCCATGTGAGACTTAATTCTACAGATCAAATATATCAAGATTCTATGTATGATAGGAAATCAATATTTTGGCAAGTTGATGACCAGCCATGTCCAAGAGCTGAAGTCATTTGTCCTCAACCTCGTAGAGCTACCAGGATTCCTTATTTCATGCACAGTCTAAATAGAATCAATGGCAAGCCAAAGGGGTGAGTTCTTTTAATTTTTTAGATGAGTTGCTTTTATTATCAAGTTTGTCAAATTTCTCGTTTGCTTTTGCCCCAAGGGACATTTCAGTTTGCTATTGACATCCAAAAAGTGATTTCCTTTTGAGTCGTATGCTTTCTGTTAGTTGTCTCTTTGAGTTTATTGTTTTACCCCTCTGGAGTTCAACATATTATATTAGCTTTAATATATTTTTTAAAAATAGTTAAAGCTATTTCTGTAAGACTTATTGCAAGCCCTACGCATGTTGATGGCTCTTGCATTTGCTTCTTTCTTGTGTCAGAGATGAGTTTCATATACCTAAGAATGTTTATTTTTTTATGAAAATAATTATAAGATCCACAGTGTGATTGATGCCAGGAGCAGTTTCCCATGTACTGTCCCTTGTACTGTGAGCCTTTCTTTTGCAGTTATTATCTCCTGCTAGCTGATTCTTTATAATCATAATTATTTGCATTATTCTGTGACTTATTTTAATTATCATTTTCTATCAGCCTTCTGCCGATTCATAGAGTGGATTGTGCCTCTGAAATTCTTGACCTTCTCCTGAGTAAGGTAATGTCTATATTTGCTATATGAATAGACACTCTCATATAAAATTGGTTCTTCGTTAATCCTCTCGTGTGGTCATAGTCACAAGTTCCTTGTATGTCAGGATGCCTCCGAAGGTGATTCAGACTCCAGCAGCCAGGTGGGCTTTTTCTGCGGGTCACCACCGGCTCGCACTAACAATCCAGTAGTCCATGATTCAGAATTTGGCAAACAAAGCCCGTTCCTAGATTCTCCCAAAGGAATCTCCCCCAGCATGAAGCAGGCAGGCAGAGTGGAAAGAGGATCTCCGACCTGTGGTTCTTCACCTAAAGTAAGAATTGAAGGCTTTGCTTGTAGCAACTCCGAATCACAATGCATCGTCCCTGCTTTTGCTTGACCTTCACGCAACTATAATCCGACCCCGCTATCCCATTGTAAATCTCCACCCTTGATAAATGTGTCTCTTTCTTATTATGGATAGTCTCGAACCCTGTAAATGCCTGAGTTTTGTGTATAATGTGTCTGGTGTAAGGTCTAGTATCAGAGATTTGTCTCAGAAGGGTGTAAGGTGTAGTTTCTGAGATTTGTCTCAGAAAATGATCTACCAAAGTTGTAAGTAAATGTTCTTATATATTACCTAACTTGCTGTCTTATCAAATTAAACAGTATATTGTTAATCTCCTATTCAGAGCTTGTAGTTCTGGATTGCTGGTCAATGTTTCCTGTTGTGTGACAGGTTGGGGAATGGCCTATAATGACCAATCTTGAAACCTTTACAACATTGTAGTGATTTAGACTGAGCTACTCTGTGCACCAAATGTGTTAGATTTGTGTGAAATATGTGCTTGTCATATGATGATCAACAAGTTTTTTGATTACTTGGAAATATATACCTATTACCTATTTCTGGTTTCAGTATTCTGCAAATTCATTAAAAATCAACAGGATTTGGTGTTGAATCAAGATAAGATAAAGAAGATTTATGTAATTGCAAAACACAGGTTTAGAAAATAATGAAAACAAGATTTATGTAATTGTAAAATTAAGTACTAACTCATATCTGATTTGTCCAAAAGAAAAGATTGATTATAATTTCTTGAAAATTAAGAATTCAACACTTTATAAATTACTACATATTTTTCAGCATATAAAGTGTGTGATCTATGCTTGTTTTTTCATTTTTAAAATTGAACAGATTGAAAGGGGAACTTTCAAGATCTGTGAGAAAAAGAATGTACAAGAAGGTTTAAACCAATATATGAATTAACTCAAAACAGTGTTTATCTTCCAAAATAATAATAATGTTTTCATAGTTAATAATTCATTGTACCATTAAGAATTACATATTTGAGTCAACTAAAATATGCCCCCTCAAACTTAGTTAAATCTGAGTTCAAATTGAAATTTAATGCTTCAAAGACCAAATCTATCTAATGGGCCAAAATAGAAGACAACTGTATATCCATCATTTCATAGTTAGTGTTTTTTTTTCTTTCTAATTTCTCCTTATAAATTTAATTTATTTTATATATATATATATATATACATGAATATGTTCCTATAAAACCTAAAACTTGCATATATGTTTTTGGTTAATTTTCTACATATAATTGCTAGTTAAAACTCTAATCAATATCAATATCCTCCAAAAAAAATTTATAATTAATGATAAGAACCTTTGGAATAATTTAAAGTATTAATTATAAAGACTTCTAACTCAAAATAGCTGATTTAAACAAAATTAAAAGTGGTGCATCTTAATTTTTTAGTGCATATTGGAGGGACGTATATGCTAATATCAACTGTGTTTAAGGGCAAACACGCCATTCCATAATTTGGCAAGAGCAGATCTCCGAAAACCCTAAAATAACCCTCCCGACGCAAAGGAAAGGCAATCGATCACCGGCGTCATTCTTAAACCTCTTTACATCCATCATTCCCCCAATAAATATCTGCTCCGTGACGGCGACCTCCCTCCTCCCTCCTCCTCCTCCTCCTCATCATCATCATCATCGTCTTTCTGCGGGTAATCGCGTCACTCCGTTGCAAACGGTAATGCCTATCTTTTCTCATCGTCGCTTAATCTCGCTAATTTGATCTCTGCTCCGTAGGGTTTTATAAAACCTTCATCGACTAGGTTTTAGGGTATGTGTCTGTTTCCATTCGGAAAATCTGGTTTTGGATGTTTTCTTTCTTTTAAGGTTACATATCCTTTAAGACTGGAGATCCAATTTGATTTTTGTATGTCCATGTTTGATTCTCAGTTATGCCCTGCATCTGAGCTTGCGTTTTACTCGAGATGCCGAATCTTTGATGGTTTAGGCCGATTTAATGATCGTTTTGATCTCGTATAATAGTGGCTGTACTATTTTCGTGGATCATCATTGAGCTCGAAATAATCTATACCTGTAGCTGCTTGTTTTGTTTAATCTCTAGTGATTCGTTGCTTATGAAGCATAATATTAGAGATGATTTTGCGTGCTGGCACAAGTTTGCATGTTCAAGCATGCATTCAGCGAATTCATGATTTAACGACCATTGCACAGTGGATTACTGTCCCACCGTGAAAATGTTAGTATGAAAAAGATGCCTTTCAAGTTCAGGTGGATTGGTGCATCGATGGGCTGTCAAAGTTATGTTCTTGTGGTAGATATGCAAATGCTCAACTTCCGAGTGCTCATAGTATATCAAGAATAACAGAGTCATTAGCATCTTTCTCTATCTTTATCTTCTGTAACAAAGTTGAAGCGAATGGAGATGGTACGGATGCTTTTATAATAAAAAAGTTCACACGAAGTCTGCGTATTGACACCCTTGGATGATCCTAGTTGGCAATATCTCTATTTTTTTATCCTTCTATGGCTGAACATTATGCTCTAGCCCTTGGCGCAGAGGGTTTCTAGAGTTAGTCACTTGAAATTTTCAGCCTTCCTGATTAAGATCTGTCCTGGTGCGGCACTAGTGGACCTCATCTGCAATTGGTGAAATGTGATTAGTAGAAAGTTTGCAGATGTCAACTGCATTATTGCCGATATGCTGTCTTCTCCAATGTGGATGTAGATTCTGTTTTGTAGGTTCTGGACTTTGCGGATGGACATAACTCTGGACCTTGCCTGAACTTTTTATCAGTTGCTCCATTTTCGTAGTCATTGAAAGCTTTGAAAACTCTAGTCCCTTGCAAAAAAGTTTTGGAACATATTTTTTAAACTATATAAAATGTTAAAACTTCAAACTGAAGAGCTCAAATGACATCTTGGTTAGTACATGGATGGATTGGTCTATCCTTCGAAAATGTAGGTTGAAACCCAATATTTGCTCCAGTTTAATCTTTGTCCAGACAGGAGGTGATGGTTGTGATTGCATGTTTTACCTTTGTATTGTTGAATTCTTACAACTTTGTTTGTGGTTCAAACTTTGAATTGCTTTGAGTAATTCTTTTTTATTTACTGGTTTTGAGAACTGAAAAACTTAATCAGAATAAAATTTAGTTATTGTTGACAAAGGCACCTTCTAATTCCATAGTCACATGATGTTCCTTGCTCGTGCAGATGAATGTAGATAAGCTCATGAAGATGGCTGGTGCTGTTCGCACCGGTGGAAAGGGCAGCATGCGCAGGTGCATTGTTTTGTCACCTGACTTGGAATAATATTACCTTGACTAGTTGGTTGTGCAGAGTTAGTAACATAGGCTAAAATGCCGATTCTTTTGTGTATATTGGTCAGGAAGAAGAAGGCAGTTCACAAAACTACAACAACAGATGACAAGAGGCTTCAAAGCACATTGAAAAGAATAGGCGTCAATGTCATACCTGCCATAGAAGAAGTCAACATTTTTAAGGATGATCTTGTTATTCAGTTTGTTAATCCTAAGGGTAAATGCATGTTGTATGCATTAAAAAAAATCTGAATTATTGTTAAATGGCCTACTGATTTCTCCTCTTCTTTCTCTCAGTGCAAGCTTCTATTGCAGCCAATACATGGGTTGTTAGCGGGTCTCCTCAGACAAAGAGTAAGAACTAAATGACTATCCATACAGTATTCTGATTTTGATTGATATCATGGAGATGGTACTTTTTATTTTATTTTATGGATTTTTTGTCTCTTCTGAATATTTTCACCAGTTAATACAACTCACACGTGATTATTTGGTGACAGAATTTGAAGATATGCTACCTGGCATCATTAACCAACTAGGTATTTTTATGACTAATCTAACTAGCCTTTTGGTTGTAAAATCTTCTTACAGTAGGTATATCATGTTTTGTTTCCATTACTACCTATGTATCATTACTAAAGTTCTTAATTACACCTTGCCATTTTGAAGTGATAACTTTCATAAGTAATGGTCATGCTGAAACAGCTTTTATGTTTTATCTCACTTTGTCATTTTATTTCATGTTGACTTGGTGCTTTCCGAATTTTGAACGCTAATGATGTGTAGGTTTCCTTAAATTCTTACCTTTTAACTTTGTTTCTATTTGTTTATATGGTACCGGTGAATAGCCTATAGAAAGCCTCCTTTTTGATTTTTAAATATCATCTTTCTCTGATTTTTTCATAATATATGATTTTATGATGATATACATTACCTTTCTATATCAGGGCCTGATAATTTGGAGAACTTGAAGAGACTTGCGGAACACTTACAGAAACAGTCACCCAGCACAGCTACTGCTGCTAAACAGGACAATGATGATGATGATGTCCCTGACCTGGTCCCTGGAGAAACATTTGAAGCAGCTGCAGATGAAAGCCAAGCTTCATAGAGAAATATGCTTTTCAGATAAATTCTCAGACTTTTCATGTCGTCAGTTGCAGTTTTGGTTTCTCAAGACGGGAAGCAGATGAATTCATTTATGTTATATGAAGCAGTAGAGAAGCAAATATTTTGTTCTTTCTCTCAATAGAATGTCTCAGATTACTGATTCGTTTCAAAATCAAGCTTCATATAGAAATATGCTTTTCGGAAAACTTCTCAGACTTTTCATATAGTCGTTTTCAGTTTTGGCATCTCAAGATGGGAAGAAGATGAATTCATTTATGTTATATGAAGCAGTAGAGAAGCAAATATTTTGCTCTTTCTCTTAATAGAATGTCTCGGATTACTGCTTAGTTTCAAAATTGTGTTATATCCACCTGTTCTAGTTCATGAATTATTTACAGGCGTAGTCGTCTGCCTGTCTTACAAGTTAATAGGACTCTCGCGAGAATTGGCTTATTGTCGAGCAAGTTCTTGAAACAATTGATGGTTTTAACCAAAGGGGCTGTCCACCTGCCTCGATAGCCAGATGGATTTTCTTGTGAGTTACTGAATTTTGGGTTTCATGGATTCTGATGTGAGTAGTTCTAATCGGCATGAAAAGCTATGAGTTTACTGAAACACCTGATCAGTTAGTAGCCAAAAAGTTTAATTTAATTTTATTTTTTTGTGAAAGACAATTCTTAGTTTATTATACTTGTTTATGCAGTTCCACTATCTTAGTGCTAGTGCATATGTTCTTGAAATTTACTTACCTTCCAATTGATGTCTGATACACATCTAGACAAGTCAATCCTATCATAGGTATCAGACATGCTACGACGATGAAGATGAAGATGGAATTGCCATGTCAACTGTAGCAGGTGAGCTGCCTGTGTTGTCTTGCAACTGCAGATGCTTGTGGCAGTATATCACAGGTGCTACCCAAATCCTTAAACTTCTTTCATGAAGCTGGTGATAGAACATCATTTCTGGCTTGGTTGTGTTTGCTGAGCATATGACCTAATTTTGGCATGTGACATCAGTCGTGGAGCTATATGCATATCTTAGGCCTTCTCATTTTGAGATTATTCCTTCCCTAGTAGTTTACAACTTCTTCTAATGAGAATTGAATTTATGGCGTTGACTTGCAACAGCATTTGTGAACTTGTAAGGCACTTATTGTACCCTAACATCAAAAGCCTTGCATATGCTGCATCTGGTAGCTGATACAGATTTCCTCCCTCCTTTTGGGCCATTGCATGTCTTCATTAAGTTGCATGAAGAGGTACATCAGATTGAAATTGATCGTTGCTCTCTTTTGTGTTAGATTTTGTTTTGATAAATACTCTTTACTGAAACTTAGCACAAATAGTCCTAGAAACAGGGTATCAGTTGTTAAACTGCTCAAGGCTGCTGCTAACCTTGAGTCATAAGGTCAAAAGCTTACTATCTAGGGTGGAAGGCTCATGTCATTACACAGTATTATACATTCTACTAAAACAGTAGAATCAACAAACATGATCTTAAATAGAAAGATTTGGCACACTGGTTTAGAATTTTGTGTTCTGAGCTCAACTGACATAATACTTGAATGCTTGTCTGAGTCCTATATATATATATATATATATGTGTGTATATAGGGAGAATGTTAAGAAAGGATAATGTTTACCCTGCTTTGATCTCTCTGTTGCATTTAGATTTGTGTGTTCTGAGCTCAACTGACATAATACTTGAATGCTTGTCTGAGTCCTATATATATGTGTGTATATAGGAAGAATGTTAAGAAAGGATAATGTTTACCCTGCTTTGATCTCTCTGTTGCATTTAGATTTGTGTTCTGAGCTCAACTGACATAATACTTGAATGCTTGTCTGAGTCATGAGGTCAAAAGATTGTGCTTATATATATATATATATATATATATAGGAAGAATGTTAAGAAAGGCCTTTGATCTCTCTGTTGCATTTGGAATATGGGTGGAAACCATTATCTTGTTGGCAACTCCATATCACATATATATAAATCCAATCAATTAGTCTGATGATCGATCATGACATTAACTCCAAACATGCACATGAAACTTCTGAAAACCTCTGCAATTGTTGGAATTGCTTTGTTCTTGCTATCATTAGGGAATGGGGTAGGAGGGAGTGGTGAAATGGAAGCAGTGGAAGTTTCATAAGTAGTTTGATTTACAAGCATTATATAGAGTACTTTACAGGCAACTGAAAATAGAAGCCCATTGCAGGAGCCTGCTTTAGGTAGAAACTAATAGGAGCCAAAAATGGTGTAACTTGTGATCTGCAATTTAACCTTTGAAGCACCATTTCACAGGCTCAAGAAAGAATATTTTGGCCTCACCAGCACAGCAGAGATCCTCTCTCCAAGCATTAGGAACTGGTAAATGGCAATAAACTGAAGAGCTTTATTTTGGTGAAGAGGACTACATGCGACATACCATGATCCCCTCCACCTCAGACTCTGGCAGCCATCTGATCTCCTGCTATATTATTGCTCAGGTTCTGGTTCAAGAACCAATTCCAATGACCCTCAGCTGCTCATAGCCCACGGCACCAAGAAATCAGATTGAATCATAAGTTTAACACTCAGGGAAGATTTTGCTAGGCTAGGTTTACTCACAAGATTGTTCTGAGGCTCCCTCCAGTAGAATCCTTGGATGAATACTGGAAATATGTTGCAGCCTATTAGAACGTAGATCATAAGAGCATGCATACCCAACCATTCCATTGCCAGTGTTGGCCTCCTATAGCCATAGACATCAACCTGCAGATATCAAGCATCATCATGAATCGATACTAAATAGTTGGGGCACTACCATTTATTTTGTTCTTTTAGAAAAGAGTTTTAGATAGCTAACCAGCACATATACTCCAGTGAAGAGCATCCCAGCAGTCCCAGCAGTGGCGCAAGTATAACTTAAGGTGTACAAAGCCTTGTTCATATGCACTCCTGAAAGAACGAAAGGGTCCAACCGAGATGGAAGTTTAAGGAACAAGTCTAATCAAAGTGACTTGAACAAAGAAAGGCAGTTTTTTGGTGGATACCAAAGCAGTCTAATGAAAAGGCCAATGCTAAAAGACAGAAGGAAGGTATCATCCACTGCACGATTCGATCCTTGTGATCCTGCAGTTGATTCAAGAATTAAACATGTACTCGATGTAGGGCAATTAAGGGAATACCGGTACCTTAAAATGCACTATAACGTGCCCGAACTGCAACCCGATCAAGCAAGTCACAATTGCCATTACAGAACTGCATGCAGCATCAACTTATAGTTTATTTTAGTACCACGAAATAGAGGACTGGAGAATGATACAGAGAAGGATAACGATGGCTTACCTAAGTAGTCCTTCAGGATCAAAAGGAGCTTGACACCATGAGGGAGCATCAGGTGGAAGTGGGCCACTAGCTGGTGAATCTATGCTGCATTGCTGAAGTAATAGTAAGGAACTAGAAATAGTTATAGAGGGAAAAAGAGGGTATTAACGAAACAGAAACGATAGATGTGAAACCTTTGTCCTCTCATAGACAGGACGTCTATGAAGATGTCGGACGCCAAAGATTCGGCGATCGATCATTCCCACAGCATTGCAGGCAGGTCCTGTGTCACCCCTCACTCCACATTCGACCTAATATTTGATATCGATGTCGTAAATGTTAAGAAGTTCCAAGTATTAACCAAGTGGAGTGTGATGAAAGGCAATGGACTCACTGAAAAGGACTTCGGTCCGGATCCTGCCACTGGTAACTGGTATTCCCAGTCAGGAACATATAGACCATATAGAAGAATCATGTAAATGGTTGTAAGGATCAAAGCCACCAACCTATACAAAAGCAAGCAATTTGCGTCAAAGAAAGCAGTTAGAGGTTGCTGGTAACAAAAATTTCTTTTAGCTATCTATATTTCTTTAATGCATTTGTACATCTCCATGTTTATTGGTCAGCTCCTTTCATTTTCAAATTTTTACTTGAGCATTTAACTTTTGCAAAGCACCAATGCCGATATAGTCACCGTGATTCAATGCCTGGACAGGTATCCAAGAGGGATTGATCAAACAATTCTTGATAATTGCCAAAAAGTTTGCAGTCATACTTACAATTGAGATCGGTATCGCCTGGCCAAGGAGTGACCAGAATCAACATCATCATCGCTTTTAAGCCAGATTTCACATATTGCAGCCAACAAGTAGGCAATTGCAATTCTCTGAAAGGAAAATAAAAGTTTAATCGATTAAATTACCATTAGAAAGACACAGTAACTCAGAAAGAATACCAAACATTTATAAGATAAAAAAAGTATTTTTGATTTTTTGCCATCTTGTGGATTAAATTTCTAGTCTTCTTAGCTGGTAAGTATTATTTCAGATTGGGAGCTGGTAGTTTTATTGCTTTATCTGGGGGATTGGTAACCTATATTTCTTCACCATGCAGGTAGGATTGCTTATCCTATATATATATCTGGAGGATTGGTAAACAATAAAACTTTACCTGTAGTATGCCGGTCCATCTTATACTCAAAATATCAACTCCATAAGTTAAATTGTGAAGGCCATGGAAATAACCACCTGTAATAGAAATATAATTCTGAGGATAAAGTAGCGAAAATTCCTTTAATATTTGCAATTAATCAATACATTTAGTATAAAACAGGGTTGCATACCTTGAATAACAAGGCCTACAACGAAGAGCTTTGCTGCTCGAAGGACTGCTTTCTTGGTTGCCATTGCTTTGTTTGAGACTCGCTGGTAGCAAAGCAAGGTGTTATTAGCATCTTTAATGTAATTAATCGATGTATGCTAATCCTTAACATACTTTTATGTTCAATAAAAACGAGAAATTCCAATGTCGAGAAGATATATTGTCCAGTACACTTACCTTATACGTAAGTGCAAGCGCAACTCCAACTATAAACAAGAAAAATGGCATAACAAAATCAGCAAGGTTGACACCATCCCAAGGAGAATGGTTGATAGCAGGAAGATATGTTCCGGCGTCGTCTACGAAGATCATGAGCTGCAACAAGTGACATTCATAAAATTTTCTGGAGTCAAGAACCCACAATTGACCACGAATCATACCACGAGTTCAAAGAAGAAGGAATCATATCATGGGATGTGAAAACACAGAATAATATCTTATATGATGTTCAATAGCACAAGAACACGTTCAACAATATGGAAATATTGCTTTCTGTGCTTTCTAGTGTTACTGCTACTATTGAATTGATTGATGAGATCATATTGTTGGAAATTAACAATTCCAAGCATAAAAAAGAAGTGCATTCTACAAGTTGTCTTTCTCATCCATTTTGATTCTTACTGCCTTCGCTTGGAAGATAAAACCACTCTGTGCATGTGTATTTTAGCAGCCTTAATCAATTGTTAAAATTGAAACATGATTTTTCAATGCGAGACAACCTGCAAATAACCTCAATCATCTTAGTTCATCCAATACTCTTCTTCCCCTATAAATAAATCTTGTTTGAAACAAATTCCAGGAGCATTGTCCATAAGCCTGCATTGGTTTCCCTAAACTCCAACTGAACAAAGATCAAAGGCTCAGTTTCTTGCAGATAAGAAGCAAAATTTAAATTGACTGATACTTTTTCTCTTTCTTTGTTCCTGATCCAGAAAAACGTTTCATGTCCATCATCTTTTTGCTTGCCCCAAACAAATTCTTGAGAGGGGCAAGACAGACTCTAGATTTAATTGACAACATGACTTACACAACAACAAATTATAATGTGCTAGGATCGGCTACATCGATCCCTGTACAAAACAATATCCTTAATTAAAACAAACAATTTTAATTTATGTTCTAAGATTACTTCTTCCTATTACTCTTTTCTGATTATTTTATCGTAGGAGGACATGAAAAAAATCAGAAATGAATCTGAATCCACCAAACCGAGGTGTCAAACTAGATTGTTGTAGGACCAGAGATCACTGCCACAAGTCGAAACCCTAACCATTCCCAATTGCCTTCACCGGAGGCAATTCCGTGGGCTTTTGGATTATGCGACACGAAGCACAGAGATGGAAGGTACGTCAGCCTCCAAGAAAAATCCTGCTTCTGGTGGTAACACCGTCCGGTCCCAACTCCAGATAAAAGGGTGAAGGAGTACGTTGGGTCGCTTCATTCAAGGCTCAATGGTGCTACCCCCAACCAGTGGAGGCATTTCCACTGGATGCTGTTGACAAAATGCTTCCACTTAGAAAGAGAAATGGATTAAGATCAGGTCCACAGCCTTTGTCAGCTCTGCAGAGACAAAGGCACTTGCCCCAGTGGAGCAGAGGTCCACGGACACCTACCCTACCCAAACTCTAGGGCAGAACCATGTGCCCTAAGAAAAAGCGTTGGGTAGGAGAGCACCAACCTCAACCTAATGTCCCATACGCACAAAGGCCTTCAAATGCTAAAAGGTCAGAAGCAGTGCAGGCAACAATTAGCAACACTACTGTAACACATACAGATTAAACGCAGTGCTCGCAGCACTAAACTTGAGGGGCTACTACGAGAATAGAGTGGGTAATCGTAAAGGCTGCAACTTTGACCTAAGCCGACCATTGTTCAACCGGTGGGTCCGCCTTTTCACGTGCTCTGCTGCGGGAGGACGGCCTTGCGGGATCCCCTTCAGCCAAGGCGGGGCCGCAGCGCGTCCGACTGTGCCGGACATATTCTAAGACTAGTGTGAGCAATGTCTGATGTGTAGGGATTGGATGGTCGCAGCTACAAGGATAGTTGGACAAGATCCACCAGGTGAGCTAGCTGTGTGTCGGCGGATCGCCTACAGTGAAATGCAAACAAAATAGTCGCACAATTCGATGCAGGAACGCCACTGACATCCGCTCTCTTCTCCCCGTCCTGTTTGCTACATGAAGCTTCGGCACAGCGGGAGAGAGGAGAGTGGCGAGAGGAGAGAGAGATAGAGAGAGAGAGAGAGGGACTCGTTGCTTGGCGTGTTCGCCAGACTCTGCGCCGACCAGAAGCACTGAGCGGCAAGCGAGAGGCAGAAGTAGAACACAGCTAAGGGATCGAATGGGTATCTTCGATGCCAAGATGGATATCGAAGGCATGGATGTTTTCAGAAGTGTTGAGAAAGAATGAATGCAATCGCTGTTTGGTGCGTTCGCCACAGACTCTGCGCCGACCAGAAGCACTGAGCGGCACGCGAGAGGCAGCAGGAGAACACATCTAAGGGATCGAATGGGTATCTTCGATGCCAAGATGGATATCGACGCCATGGATAGTTTCAGAAGTATTGAGAAAGAAAGAATGCAATCGCTGCAATCCGTGGGAAGAACGGAGACACAAATATCCTAACAGAAGAAGTGGGGAATCCAGCGATTATTAGGGCATAGAAACGGAAGGGGAAAGTGAAACGGCGACGACGGAAGCAAGCAATGCGGAATGGGCGTACCGCGACGGTGAGTCCCCGGAAGACGTCGAGAGAGACGAGGCGGTGCCGGTCCCCGCTCCGGGGAGCGGAGGCCCTCTTTCCGCCGATTTCGAGGTCCTTTGGGTACGGCAGCGCGTGGTCGACGGCGAGGACGTGCTCGTTGTGCTCCTCCTCCGCAGCCGCCGCCGCCTTGTCGTCGCCCTTGATGAGCTCGTACGTCCCCATCTCTCTCGCTCTCTCTCCTAGCGAGGGACGGAGGGGGGGAAAAGAATCAAGCTACTATTTTATATGCAGGAAAAAGCAGGCATGATGAGCAGCTTTAAAGGTGAGCGGGCGGCATGTGCAGGCACGCATCGCAGTTCGCATCATCAACCGAGCAAGAGAGAGAGAGAGAGAGAGAGGAGTACGTGTAGGTGGCCAATAAGAGATAAGCATACAGTTGAAAGTAGCAGATGCTTTCCCTTCTTTTGGTCTCTTTGTGGCCATTATTATACTGTAAAAAAATCAGATCTGACGCATGAAAACCCACATAATGCTATTATACTATGCGCGCAACTCATTAGGCTGGCGAGGTGAGATATGATTATACATCCACAGTACACACATACATACATGTGTGTATATATATAAATCTATATACACGTGTTTCTCAAAAAATTACGTAGAACATAATTTGCTTGGTTCTCAGTCAATTTACGAATGCACCGTTCGCAAATCATTTATCCATTCCGTGCCAATTTCCACTGAAATTATTCAGATTTGTATTGGAAGAACAAGTTGCTGATCCACTTGCTATCTCTCAGTCAAAGCTCAGGTGAGGCACAACGACATCTCTTACCTGATTATTGAGAATAATTAACAGTCCCTTTAAATCAAGCATATCTTCTAGTAATTCAACACAGACATTGACGTTTTTGTGCTCTGCAGATTGATTTCTCGTCACTTTCCGGCCGTCCAAAGAACCTGCATGAATCACGTTACACATCTCAGTAAAATAATAAATCAGATGTCGGTATCAAAACAATGCAAAACACCAGCATTATGTTCATAAAGAAGATAAGCATGCTAACCATCAGGTCCTGTGATGTATGACGACATCCAAATTCTTCTCATGATGGTAGTAATAATCCATGGTGTATTTGAATGGAAAAAATTGCAAGCAACCTTATGTTGAAGATGTACAAGGGGGCCAAATGATCAAGAAATTTCGGCAAATTGACAATTATTTGAGGAAAATAACGATACATTGCACAAACAATTAGAGGGCACCTCACCCAATTTACTCTTTGCTAGCAAAATCTATTTCCTATTTGCGGGGTGTTTCTCCTCAAAGCAACTGTAAGATGAGCAGTCCAAAGAACTAGAGGAGCTATAAGCATACTCTGTAAGATGACATCCTACTTCATAGTATGTCGACAAATCAAATGAATTATCCTAAAGATTATTGCACAATTGCCAGTTTCAGAACACCACAGTATCAACTCTCCTATTCTTCATCGTTATTCCACAATCAGGCTCGGATAGCCAACTCTGGCGCAATACTGCACAATTATAAAATCCCAGATGGCATAATTGCACTCAGATTCACAATTGTTCAGACTTCCCTTCTGGCAACATGAGCTGCCACAACAAAATTTTGGGTGCTCTAGTTCTGTCTACACAATCTGATTAAACAAAGCCCAATGAACTCAGCTGCCAAATATCAAAACTGGCCTGGTTCTGACCCTCCAATTTACAGTTCCCATTTCATCAGTCGGAAAGGGGAAGAAAGAGCATTAGAAGAGTATTATCAAATAGTGAATCATGTGGGATTTGGAAAATTGCGATGTGTATCAGCAAAATCTCTAATGATACGCTTGAGGGTTCTTCCCCCTTTACCCAGCATGTGCCCGTTATCACCTCTACCAGTGTCACAAGTTTTGCTCTCTACATAATCTGAAGCTGCACTAGCTAGGGCCTTCAGCCACAAAGGAATTATAGTTTCTGGTTCCCCTTGCTTCAGATACTCCAACGGCAGAGATTGCACCTAGTAACATTGAAAAAGCTGTTCAGCAATATCAAAGCATGTAATGAAATACACACAACCCTACACAAGTAGAATACAAGATTGGCACCAGATACAATAATCACCATAAACAACAAAATATTTGATAAAATAAGAAATGATAACAATTTTCCTAGAGGATCCCTTTCTCAAACAAAGCAATATTACTGTTTTGCTAAACAATTTGTGTATGGTTTGTATGTGCAGAGCAACAATCCACAAGCCTGTGAAAGAAAGGGAAGCATGGCTATGTACTTTCCCTTTATTACCAAAGCTATCAGTACTGGGGTCAACTGCAACAACTGTTGCCCAGAATTCAAGGCCCACACTGTGTGATGATAAAATTTCAAATTGTATTAAACTTTCCTCCACAAGTCATTACATAGGGCATCCACATGTTGAGATTTAGCTCCATATATGTTTTGCTAAACATATATGGAGCTAAGTATGGAAATCATTCACTTAGGGTATGTATTCATTGATACACATTAATATACATGTGAATACCTATTCAGATATACAATGTGTGTAAAAAGCTGTCTTAGAAGTAACTAGATTAATTGTTCCTCAAGAGAACAACAATAATTGAAAATGTAATTAGACAGATCAACCTAGCAATAAGAATATATTTAAAAACTTAAAATGTAACTAGATTTTGTTTTCACTTGTGATGTACTAGAGTAATATGAAAGCATAAGGTGCATTGCAAACAAGTTCAAAAAATCGACACCCTACAACCAACCAATAATATAGTTAAAATTCCTGAACGTTCTTGGAAGGAAAGGTTCTAGGTCTTCATGAACAAAAAGTTCTTACAAGTAAAAATTTTACATCTGTCATTCAATGGAAGAGGAAGAATTAGAAAGAAATTGATGATGGAACCAAAGCAAGGAAAAAAGGCATCAAGAATTATATGTGACCGTTGTGTCTCTTAGATTAAAAGAAAATTTTATATGACTATTGTAAGCCAAACTAGGATTTATGGCTCTGAATATGGGTAATTTATTATCATCGAAGCTGTAAGGAGACAGACTTACTAGATGCGGTGACTTTATTATCATCGGTGCTGTAAGGAATAAGGGGAAAATCTAGAAAACTATATTACAGATCAGAAGAAATGATTTAATTGCTCTTAGCTTAACTTGTATGGATTCAGGAAAACTAAATGACAAGAAAATATCCAAATAATCAACCACAAATGATTGGGACACGACAATTTCTTATTCTATGTTCTTCTTGATGTAGCATACAAAATCAGTAGAGGATATATTGAACACTATAATTCAAGAAAACCAACAGGTATCCACGAGGCAGGCTAAATTCATAACTACACAGTCAGAAGCTAAAGAAATCTACCACATAGTCGGAAACTTCTGTTTCCAACAAAATAGGATATTTCCAAAATAGTGTTCCTTGCTCTTTTAACCCATAATTATGGTCGCACTTTTGTTGCTTTACTAAAGCCATCGGGAAAATCTGTCAAAATGGCAATCCCCCAACCTCCCTTAAAAAATACACAATAAAATGAGTGAGAGGATTACCGTTGACTGCAACCATCTACATAGGGAAGCCCAACAAAGAACCGATTGCCATGCAGTCCTTCCACAAAGGCTGCACAATGCTGCTAATTGTTGCAAGATTGTTGCAGACTTGTGTACCTGAAAAAGTGTGAAAGATATTAACTGATTGCTCAAATTAGTAATAGCACAAGAAATTTTTAGTCGTACTCGAAAGAAGTGTACAAAATATAATTTCCATTGAGATACAAATATTATCATAATTCAAAAACATAGCCAACTGTTTTTTAGTGCAAACAGATATGCAGCAAAAATGTATTTCCCATGAGAAAACAGGAAGCAACAATCACAAGATCTAGGACCATAAAAGATAATGGTTGTCTGGGATGACATTTCTGAGCATGTTTACACTACAAATAGGCAGAAGAAAGTTTGATCCAAATTTATCTTCATCTGCTACTTTGCTTGCTGAATTTTAAAGAATATGTAATCTCCACCAAAGTTATTTTGTATGTGCCCTCAACAGGCAGGGTTAAATTGCAAATTGACTTCCATAATAGAGTGCATTTACAAGAACTGCTGATGTTTGAGGAACCAGTATGATAAAGATATTTATAAATTTTCAAGAGCAATATTAGTGACTAGAGTTATTCATTTACGACACTGACACTCTTTCTTAAATCTCGAACAAAAACAATACAATTTTGTCAGAACCCAAACAGGATACGAAGCATCTATAACACATCCTCATAATTTCACATGTGTTTCTAAGAAAATATGTAGATTATCAGAAAATCGAAGTTTGCCGTACTGTGGCATGCAGCTCAGTATGGGTGGTACATACTAATCTGATAGGAGATCAGTTCGGGCGGTACATACTGGTTTGTCGGTATGCCCCACCGTACCATGTGTTGGTACGTCGATATAGTTTGGTATGTACCCTACCGATGGCTGGTCGGTGCACTAGTACATACCGATAAAGCGAACTATACAAAAAATTACTAGAAAAATAATTGCAATAACTAATCCAACAGACAGCTTATGCCCTTGTGAAACTAGAAGGAGATCTGCACATTTACCCTTGACATTGCTGACACACCAAGAAGAGCATAAACAACACTAGACACCAGTCCTTCACCATTTTGTGCTAAAATACGAATTACCACCGCACTTAATGATCCTTCAGTTATACAAGCCAAAGATTCCAACACGGAGACTAGGCTGACCTCTAGGAAACCTGCAACCATGTAATATTTTAGGAAGCTGCATCAAAACAAAAAGACAAACTGAGATGCATGTTTCATTACAAAGAGGGGGTCTGAATGTGCATGTAAAAATTGCTATAACCTTAAGTTGAGCTAGCATGAAGAGAACTATAAGCCATAGATGACAGCATGACACGTTCATGCTTGCAGAATGTCAGATTGTACCATGCATTGACACCCTCTACAAAATGCTTACCATGCTAGTGTTTGAATGGGACAGGCAAAATATATGACACTTATAATTTGCATGTAAGAGATAAATACTTACAGGACATATATGACATTGCTGCAAGTGCAGCTCCACGATGCATTGCAGTACAACAAATTGCAGCTTTTTGGAATGACAATTCAAGAAGTGAACTAGATGCAGCAAGAACATCCTGATGGAATGCATAAAACATAATTATTTAGTTGCCTTTTGCTCTTTAACATTTTGAGATACCAAAAGGTGCATAAGCTATAATAAGCTAGAAAGTAAGTGAGAGAATAAAGACCTTGGGACAGCAGCGTACGAATGTTGATGTGAAATTATTGTAGGCTTCCACCAAATCAGGTTCTTGGTCACATATGTAAGAAGAATTAAGAGCAGTTATTGATGCTGCTGAGGCAAATCTATTAAATGTGCTAATGCATAAAGGTCCATATTCTTCGATGTGGCCAAATTCTTCAACAACAACAGCCGCTGATAAAGTTTTTAATGGAAAAACAGAGAAATGGAAGTTAGAGATAAAGAATCAATCGACTAGCACCATAGAGACAGAAATGAAATGTTACACTTAAGGGATATATCATTTTAAATATTTTTACAATTTGGGAAAAAACAGACATTTAAGCGTGAACTAGACCAGGACATATGAAATTGGTTAAGGTAATCACATGGAAAAAAAGACATTCATAAGCATCACTATATATATCTAACTTTTGTTAAAAAGTCAAATAGATATTCAGGAGTCCTTTTGTAGATCTTAACACTAGACCAGATCTGTATGGGGCAAAATGGAAATTAATGAAATCAAACACCTTTGGTGTTCATTGCACCTTACAGTATTTCCATTTGTACATCTATGTCACCAGTCTTGATCTATTATAAATTATCTCATCCATACATTTTTCTGGAGAGATGGGGACAAGCTTGACTTTGAGACGATAGAAAAGGCACTCATCCAAAGAACCACAAGAACTTAACAAGGAATCAGAGAATTGGAAAATGGAGGACAGACTATGGCCTCCTACAATTCCAGTTTCAGAGGACGAATCAACAAGGCAATCAGTGAGTATTACGGAACAGAAGCTGTTCCATTAATTCCTTGATGGAAAGAAGCAAAAAAATATGCTTTTAAATATTAATTTTAATAAAGAAGAAAAGTTTTCCGTAGCAAAAGTTAGAAGATGTCAGGTAACGCAACACATCTGAAAAAGGTAATATTGTCTCATGCAAAATAGAGTATACAATGAATACTGAGGACCACCTTTCACTAAGATTTAAAAGGTAAAGTAATTACCACTGTAAGAGATTAAGCTGTTTGTAAAAGGTTGTAAGAGGGGTATTGACCCTTCCGTTTCAAGAGATTTGCTAGTGGAAGGTGGGAGCCTCATCGAAGAGGGGCCTCGCAAGTGGATGTAGGTCATTTGACCGAACT